CCAGAAGCCACCTGATCATCTGGATCTATGATTTCTTGACGTGAGGAGAGTAACAGGAACAAAATGGAGAACCACAGCTAGAGCTGTCAGGTAGTCTTTGGCCTTAAAGATACTCTTCTCTCCTTGGACTGCTTTTTAGTTTCTGGGCACTCGGGTATCTGTGGACTGCAGGCAGAGGGTGCTAGCCTTCAGCAAATACAATAGGAGTCTCAGAAGCAATGGGAAAAGGTGTTTTTTTAAAAAAAATCCTTTTTAAAAAAATCATTCCTTTAAAGGCTTATTCCTGTTTGTCTTTCTTAATTTGCACTTGCCTAGTCTTGTTTCTCTGACCAGGGCTCCTAGGACTGCTGAGGGCACATGGAAAACTTTCACCTGAGAGGAAAAATGAAGCTTTATTACAGTTAGTCCCAAAGAACCACCACAGAGTTTGTGCCAGCTGTGACAGGGACAGTGTATCCCAGGGAGAAGAATGTGCCTCTGCGCCTTATCTTGTGAATCCACATGCCAAATAAATGAATCCCTTGGGCTAAACACACAAAACCTTAGCTTGAATCTCTGTGGGTGAAAAGGCCGTCTTGGAAGTTTCTGAAATGAGTTCTACCAGGTTACTGATGCACAATCAAGATAGCACCCATAACATCAGAAAATACAAGAAAGTAAGATTCTGAGAACAAACACACTAACATCATACAGTCCAAGGCAAATTTTCTTATAAGTCAGTCTCACTGTATTCTCTGAGACTTTTTGCCTAATTAAGTATTTTTGAGAATCAGCCTCCTTAAAGAGGTCATCCACTAGGGGAAGGTGCCATGACTCTAGTTCCCATCATCCACCACCCTTAATTTCCTAGGTTGGGTGAGACATAGATGGTGCATGAGTGGGCAACTATGGGCAAACTTCTAACCCTAGACTTCCAATTCCTCCCTTATTTGAGATTAAATACTCTTGGCAAGTAGGACACCCAAAGAACAAACACAGCCTTTGTGGCAAATGCACTTTCTTTAGGCACTCACACCTTTGCCCCCAAGAATCACACTTGGGTAAAATATAAAAGGTTTATTTAAAAAGAGTAAAAAGTTATAAAACAAAAGACATACAAAAAGATACAAATTATACTGTTAAATGCCATGTATCTAAGCATAAAGTAAGCTCCTGCAAGTCTTTCCCATAAATTTAAAACAACGAAATGATTAACTAACTTATGATTTTACTATTTAATTACCATGCTATTCTAAGTAACCATTGCTAAGTCTTCTAATCAATTAAGGAAGGCTCTAAACCTGTCACCACCACCTCCTCCTCCTCTTCTCACTTTCTATAATTTAAATCGAAGTCTCTGCTTCTTGATGGTAACCAATCAGCATACACTCCTTTGTTCACAAGTTCACAACCCTCTTGTAACTTTCAACCATCCGCCCTCCTGTTCCCAGGCTGGCAAGCAATTAGAATGGAATACAGTGTTTATCTGTCTTGAGCTGGCGCCCAGGCTGAGACTGGAACACCTGTGGAACTCCGAAAAACAAGTACAGTACTACAAAACCCATATCCTCACAAGTATATCTAGGACTGTAGTCTTCTCTTCATGATTCTTGGTTTTTGTTGATGGCAAAACAAGCATAACTGTGTTGTGTGTTGTCAAGTCCCTTTCAACTTATGGTGACCCCAGAGATGGTTTTCAAAGTACAGTCAACCCTCGACTTACAAACGGCTCGAGTTACAAACATTTCGACTTACAAACCACTCTGATAGAAAAATATTGACTCGACTTGCACACTTAGATTCGAGTTACAAACCAAAAAAAAATGTGTTTGAGGTGGGGAAAGCATGAAGTTTGAACTTTCAGTTAACCGTTGGCCAGTGAAGAGGGTGCTTATCTACTTCCTTGCTCTTCCCAGCGTTTTGAGAGTGGATTTGGAGACAGTCTTCAGACTGCCTGGTACTGCCTGGTACTGCTGGTATTGCCTGGTACAGTGTGGTACGGACTGTATTTTTATTTTTTGGTGCTTTTTTAATTTTTGATTTTTGGATTTTTAAAAGGTGTTCCCTCCCTCCTTTGCTGCCCCCCCTTTCCCCAAAAAGTGCTTGTATTGGCTTGTCTTGATTTAAAAGGTGCTTTTCAAGGTGATCTGTTGTCTGAAAGGTGCTTGTTTTTTTCCAGAAGGTACTTGTCTTGGCTGAAAATGTGCTTTTCAGGGTGTTCTGTTGAAAAGGTGTCTGTTCCCTCCTTCTCTCCTTCATTTCTTTCCTTTTTTTTAACCTAAGTCATCTTAGATTAAAAGGAAAAAAAGAAAGAAATTCTGCCCCTAGTGGTAGGAACGGATTAACCGGCTTTGCCTTAGTTCCTATGGGAAATGCCCCTCAACCTAAGAACCAAAAACAGCTGGAACAGATTAATTGGTTTTCAGTGCATTCCTATGGGAAATGCTGATTCGACTTACAAACTTTTTGACTTACAAACTGCCTTCCAATACGGATTAAGTTTGTAAGTCGAGACCCCACTGTATGTGAGATATTTAAGGAGTGGTTTCACTATTGCTAACCTGCCTCCCCACCCTGCAATTGAGTTTCCATAGCCAAGCACAGATTTGTACCTTGGTCTCTCAAGCACATCAGTCTGTCGACTACACCACACTGGCTTGCTCAAAAAAGCATCTCAGGTCTTTTAAATATTCTGTCCCATAAAAGGTGTGAGGGAGTTCGATTTCCACTTAACCATTCTTGACACTAATTAAAATGACTTCACCTGTAAATGCATTGTTGGCTTTCCTTTATTTGACTGCAAGTGGAGAGGCTGAGTTTCACAATGATTACAGCACTTGGTAAAATGAGATTGAATTTTTTTTTCCTTGCTGCAGTTAGGCTCAGAACTGGCATTACTAATTCCTTACAGCAGAAGTGGGCGGTTTTGATGGGTCAGAGCCTCATTTCAATCCGTCCTGCCACTGCTGTAAGGTGGCATGACACAAGAATGGGAACAAGGTTGATTTAACTTCCAGTGTAGAAAGAAGTGCGTCTTTGTGCCAGGACAAGGCATGCAGGGAACAAGCAAGTTGTTTTACAGGATAATCAAAGGGGTGGAAATGTGCTCTTTTTCATATTTTCACAAAATTCAGAGTAAACAGAAAAATGGCAGAGAAGACCTCATGTGGCTGACATGCCACATAGTCCTGGTTTGTAGGCTCTGAGTTGCCCACAGAAGTCTTGGATATAAATTTGATTCTTCACGTGCTTCAGCTCTCAACAATGACTTTAATTCTGAGCCATTCCGACTGAAAGTGTGGACTTGGGAAGTATTCCTGCTTCTCAGATTATGTTTGCTGGTAGTCGTTGCACCTCAGAGCGATGGAAATACACATATAGGTAGAAAATTATGGAATGCAACCTATGAGCTGGCCTGACTCAGCCTGTCCATCCCAACCCCGACCCCCCCAAATTTCTCCCTATCCGTATTACCTCTCCAAATCAGATGTGTGAAGAAAGGTAGATGCATAATTTGAAGTGGAATGATTTTAATTTACATCTCGTTAAACATACAGATTAACCAGCAACAAACACAGACCCACACCATAAAATATATGTATTAAAAAAGTTTTCCTCCTTAAAACCTGGATTTGCCTCATATTCCTTTCAGTGCCAGTCCCCAGGTGTTCCATCTCTACCTAGTGAAGTCTCTCAGGTGGAGAGGAAAACAGGGGACCTGCTGTTCAACACCTTCCTGTATACCCTTCAAGTCAAAGGAGAGGGTGGGGAAAAAGCTGCCAAAGGATACACACAAAATTAACCAAAGACACAGTTCCACAAAAAAAGCAAGGCAAGGGGAAGAGGCTGAACGTGGGAGAAAAAAATATCAAAAACCTAGTTCCTATTTAATTATTATTTTAAATGTCACTACCCTGTTTTCCCGAAAATAAGACAGGGTCTTATATTAATTTTTGCTCCAAAAAACTCATTAGGGCTTATTTTCAGGGGATGTTTTATTTTTTTCATATGCAACAATCTACATTTATTCAAATACAGTCATGTCATCTTCTTCTGGTTACTGCACGATGGTGGAGGGTGGGCTTTCACTTCACTGGGGCTTATTTTGGGGGTAGGTCTTATATTATGAGCATCCTGAAAAATCATACTAGGGCTTATTTTCAGGTTAAGTCTTATTTTCGGGGACAGGGTATTTAAATGGTTAAATGACACTGAAATATTTATAGATTAAGTAAGAATAACTATCTCATGTTATCTGAATTCATTATATTTTGAAGGCAGTTTAGGGGATGAAGCAAATTTTACACTGGAGTTTGCTAGGCATGGAGAGAAAGTGAAAAACTACTGAGGATCGCGGCTTTCTCCAAACAGATCATGTTGGGATTTGAGTGCTGAAAGAAAGTGCAATATGTCCACCACAACAAAGTCTCCGCCTTGAGGAAACACAGAGATACAAGGTATCTGCAGTGCACAAGACACAAGTGCATATTTCTGGTGCAAGGAGATCTTTTGTAATACTCAGAGTGTTTGTTTTTAAAAATTGACCATTCAACCAATAAAAGACTTTTAAACATTTGAACATGTAACATTAATAGATACAGTATTTAAAAATCAAAGACGATAATAAAACAAGCAGAACAAACTGCAAGAATCACGAGAAATAAGAAAAATCTAATAATCCATTAAAAGCCTGAGAATAAAATCACCTTTACTTGGTGCTATAGAATAGTGGTCCCCAACCTTTTTGACACCAGGGACCGGTTTAGCTGAAGATCATTCCCCCAAGGACTGGAGGGGGGGTATTTGTGGTGAGCAAGAGGTGAGCTGCAATTGAAGCTCCACCACCTGTTAGATCAGCAGTGACATTAGAACCTAAGAGGAGTGCCGGCTCCTCTTAGATTCTAATGCCACAGGAACAGCTGATCTAGCAGAAGCAGGAGGGGAGAAGGGAGTGAAGCTCCGCCTCCTGTCAGATCACCAGCGGCATTAGAACCTGCTGACAGTAGGCGGAGCTTTGCTCATCCCTCACCTCCTGCTCGCCGCTCATCTGTCCTGGTGGTCCAGTCCTTCCAAGGCCACCTTCTATAGAAGGCACAAAAGTATCTGTAGAGAATATTCCACAGCCAGAGGGGCCACCACTAAAAAGGTTCCTTCTCTAGTTGCCTTATCTCTGAAAATATCACCACATGGTCAGGTTTATTTGGGCATGTATGATCCTTCTGCTTTTCCTACCACAAATGCAATTCCTACGCTTAATCTCTCTCTCTTTCTCCAAGGGTAAGTAACTTGTTTATCTGTTGCAGCAAAAATAACCAACAGTCTTTTGGTATCTGAAAGACAAAAATGTTTCATTTGGTATAAATATACACAGACTTCAGCCCACTTCATCAAATGCTTTTGATGGAGTTGGTTACCGTCTATGAATACTTCTACCAAATGGTCTGGTCATGTTTAAGGTGCCACAAGAGTCTTTGTTGCTTTGTTAAAAAATTACACAGGAGAGATTAATCAGCATTATCCATAATGGTTTGCCAGCATCAAGCAGAAGCAAGTAGGTGAAATAGAGGACTCAAGAATTTCAATAGAAAAAGAGGAAAATGTGTAGCAGACCAAAAGTCTAGTAGTTTAAAGCCAAAGATTCCTGCCATATAATAGAAGGGAAAGATGATCTTCCTCCCCATCCTATCTCACCTGGATAACTGATTCTTACAGTACAAGTTACATTTCTTTTGAATGGTTTTAGGAACATTCCATATTAAAACATGGCATCCGAATTTCATTTTATGCCTTTCATCTCTTCCTCTGGTGACGTACTGACATCTAGTGAAAGGAAAAGGGAGCACAGCTATAAGGATCGTTACACAACATCTCTAGTATATTTTACTTTTGACACAGTTTATTCATTTTAAAAGCGCGGTTCCTGGCGTCTCTTGCCATTACACATGAAAGGTGTCCATATCTTTCCTGAGAATTTTACTAACCTACCAACATTTGATCATTTTGGATTCACACAAGTTTTACAAAAGGTTATTTTATGTAATATAACCCAAAACAACTGGCAGTGGACTTTTAATGTTTCTCAACATAAAACAAAACTACAGTGTCACTCACATATCAATACACATAGACTACTGTAATGACCTAAGAATTGTCACTGCGAAGCACATGAGGGAAGCTTTTACCATATGTGGTGGTCTTGCAGAATAGCGAAACAATATTGGATAGGAATACATACTCTGTTACAAAAAAAATTGCTCTGTAAGTTTCCACTAACCCCAGAACTGTTTTTATTGAGCATTATACCAAATAATATAGACAAGACAAAGAAATACTTAGTTATATAATCACTGCAGCCAGAATTATTTATGTCAAGAATTGGGAAGAAATTTATGATACCGAAAGAAGAGGAACTTATTGAGAAGATACGGAAAGTGGTAGAAATCAATATCTTATCAGAAGTGTTGAAAGACTCTCCAATACAAAAGACAACTGAGCGATGGGATTTATTATATAAATGGTATGAATCACCAGATAGTGCTTGAGTAACATAGATTTAAATTAGGATGTAAATATAAATTAAAACCTAGAGGGCAATCAAATTGTAGAAAAGCGGAAAGTTGATTTGATATTGTAATATGAATAGATAGGATGTCAGTACACTCTATGTTTTAACTTACTCTTTTATATACCGGTATATAAAAAAAGAATTCAATTGTCACAACAGCCTGTAACCACTTGTGAATACTGCCACCACCACCCACCTACTTGCTGAGACTACATTTCCATTCTGTGTTATCAGGAACTTTGAGTAACTTAAGCTTGCTTATCTGTGTATCAGCTTTCCCTTAGATGGCATTCTCCAGGAGTCTTGGACTCCAAGTCCCATCATAGAAACTGGGTGATGAACATTGTGATCCATCACATCTGGAGTGTTGAGTAAAGCCTCATATGTATCACAAAAGTTGCATCCAATAAAATTGTTGTATTTTTGTCTCTCGGGCTTATATTCCCTTATATTTAAAATGTATTGTTTCTCTTTAAATCAAGTGCTTCCCAACCTTGGGTAATCCATGGACTCTGGGACTGCAATTCACCAATAACTGTGCTAGGCGGAGTCGGGGTGTCTGGTTGTTGCAGTTCAAGAACACCTGGGTTACCCAAGGTTGGGAACCACTCCTTCAAACCGGAAACACACTGTACTGCCTTGATCTCTATACTTCAAGAAAACAAGAAACACAGACACTCCTTTCAGAAAGGCTTTTATTGTATTTGCATTATATTACAACGAGGGACTTGTCATAACTATGCTAACAGAGTGAGTACATTTAGAAGAATGATGAATTATCAAAGTTGATTTTTTTAAATTTATTTATTTTACCAGACTACAGGAGGTTGCCCTGACTTCACTTTCATACCATATAAAGTTTCATAGTATTAATGAAGCCTCATATGGGAAGGACATAATTCTACTTATGACAAGTCTTAGTTTTAAATTAATTAAAGTTGTTAGCTGGGAAGTGAGGTTAAAAAGCAGATGAATTCAAGAGCATTATTGTATTGAAAATAACCCTCATTTTGTTGCTTTAGTTTTTGAACTAAAGAAAGAAGAGATAGCTTTCATGCCACTTTTGTCAACTTTGGCCAGAGCTTTCTGAGCAGCCGACATCTTACTGCTTCCCTAAAAAAAAAGGAAGAAAAAGAAAAATTAGAGTTCATGCTATTTCACACACATATTGTGCAAACATAATACAAATCCTTGACTTCCAATGTCTTTATTTATTTGGAGTTATTAGCCAGATATTTGATGGCAGTTACATAGCTGCTATTAACTTTGTAGAGTTGCCTTAAAAAATTTTTAAAAAAATGTAAACATGTGAAGAGGAAGAATTATAGCATCCTCCACTGTTGTTCTGCATGAGCGGAGAGCAACACTGTGATGAGAGGAGTCTCCTCTACACACAGTCATCAGAAATCCTGATTTTTCAGGAAATCCAGTCACACAGAGAGGCTCCACGCCAGGTTATAGTCAAGACTCTCATCTTCAGACTGTCAACTCTCCATGTGTGGGGAGTGAGAATGGAGGAAGGCCACTGCTTTCAGTTCGTAATACCGCTTCAGGCCTTCTGACTGCCCTTTTTGGGGGGACACCTAAACAGGGCTTGCATGAATCTGAGAATCTACAAAAAAACCATATTTTCTGAGATGTCAAAATATGAACATAGGCGTACTACATGCATCAGGCAGAGAGCTGATCAGTTGCTTGAAGCCCTCTCCGTTTGAGTGGTTTTGGCAGTGAGCAGCTGACACCGATGGTGCAACCTCTGCTTTCAGTTCAGAGGACCAAAGTACTTCTCATATGTCAGGGGTGGGTGATGTGTGCCCTTACCTGTGGGCCTCTCTCAAGAGCCCAGGTGTGGTCCCACCAGCAAGCATATTCCCTGCTAAAAGCTCCCCTCGGAAGGGGCTGTTTCACTACACGTGTGCCCCCCCCCCCAAGGCTGTAGGAACTTTTAAAAAACAAAATGTTGAAGTCTCTACTGGGTTTGGGGAAAAAAAGCCCCTTCTCGCCTTAAAACCACTCAGCGCAAAACACAGAAATGTTGCTCCCCATGGCCTCTAAAACATCTAAGAAAGAAAAAGTAAGAACTGGGGGAGGGTGAAGTGGAAGTTGTAGGAGCTGCAGCTCTCCAAGGTCTTGTGGGAATTACAGGCAGTGCGACATGCAAATTAATGCACTGTCACCTGAGAGGAAGGAAGTGCTTGTAAAACTAACATGCTGGGTAGGTTGCATGACTCCCTCCCCACCTTCAACTCTTCTATTACCTTTGTTTAGGCACAAGCTTTCGGGATGCTATAGAGGAAGGGTGCGCTTTTGAGTTTCTCTTATCCTCATGTCCACCATTTTTCTCTCAGTCACGTGGCCTGAGAGAACCCTCCTCCTGTTCTAATAGTTTAACCTTTTTCTTCATTCTACAAACCTCCGAAGACTTTCATACTGACACTTTCTGCAACCGGGTTCAACCCTACTGGTTGTATCCTTTAGTGAGGAAAGAGCTATTTCCTCTTTATCTTTAAAGCAGTGTCTAAGTAATTATTCAAGCTGGTTAAAAGAAGCGGAGTGTATGTGTTTGGGAACTTGCTACTCAATTTTACCTCCTACAGTTACCGATGTTTTCATTGTGCAATTAAGGGAATTAAAGATATTCCTCTCTGCTGTTACTACAAAGTCCATCACTCTAATAGATCTGGGATAAACATATGCCGCCTTTGGACCTCTGGGCAATGCCCACCCCTGCATACATACTGTTACTGGCACTTTGACGGCTCCTCCCGCTTGAACTGGATGAACAATGCCATGGAACCCTTATTTGGGACTCCGTCCTCCTGAGCTCAGTGGGAATTATATCCAGACAAGCATGGGACAGGAATGAACTGCAACTTGAAAAACCTTCACTGAAATTTCATGCTCATATGACCTCTAGCTGGCATACTTAGGGAAGTGCAAGATGATATAATAGAGGGGAGCAAAAAGACCGAACACTGCATTTTCAATGCTGCTTGAGAAGTCATCACATTAAAAATAATTTGAGGCAGCAGAGATCTTTTTTTTAATATGCTAGTGACTGCCATTGCAATTTTTAACATTTAAAAAACCCTATCTCCTTCAAGATAGATCAATCTTGATTCTTTTATATGCTCTACTTTAAAATATTTTGACCATCTTTCTTGTTATTTGCTACACTATAAAAATAAAGTTTTACTGCCCACAATATGGAATATTGCTTAACGCTTAAAATCCTTATTTTATTTCTTCAAGAACACTGTTAGCCAAAATGTCAACTAGAGAGGGGAAAAAAAAGATACTTACCTTTTTGTTTTTCAGATCACTTGAATTAAACTTGGTATAATCTTCTTCTGCTTCTACAGGTGCATCTGATAATTTCCTTTTCTGCAATGTTAGAGTGACGATTTGCTTCATAAATCACAAACTGCAGTTTTGCACACACTAAGTTTCAGAATCAAAAACGTTCTGACTTCGGGAGCAATGGAGGCCAAGGAACTAAGGGCACGCAAAAGGGCATAACATGTTATTTACTTTGTAGATGACAGGATTTATAATATGGACAAAGATGGCAATGGGTGGAGGACATAGGCGTGAAAGAATGAAGACTTCCAAGTATGGAGTTGAGGAAGTGAGAGTTCAAGAGTGTTTCTACAAGACACACACGGGTATCTTTTTATATGGCATACATTCACATATCATGGTAGTACACCTATTTAAGAGGTTACATCCAGTTACCACTGCCCAGTGTGGCCCCAGGCCAGATAGCACAATATAAAAGTGTAAAAATAAGAAATAAAATACATACTAGACCCAATGAGGGTAGATTCATCAACTTTACATAAGTGTTGACATACCAAGTTCCCTTTGATTCAGTGGTCTCTCTAGTTTGGAATACGAACTGGATTCAAGCTACAATTTTTGCTTTGAAAGGCACAGCTGAGATGGTAGCCTATGTTCAATACATATTTTATGGAGCAGAGAAAGTCTGTAAAGCTTTTCTTACTCACTGCCCTACTATCCCCTATACCTACATCTTGGTATGACTCTTGACTTTACTGCCCCATTGTTTCAACTCATACTCTTCCCTCTTCTCCTTACTTTGCAGAGTATTACAGTATAATCACACCTGCTTGAACAATGTTGGAGCACCATTATCTGACTGAGACAAAGTTATAAACTCACAACCTTTTGTTGCAGCAGCAGAGAAATATTAAATTTAAATCTGTCTAGAGGGCCTATAAGTTGCTGTACCCATAGACTGAAACCAGACTTCTCTTCCTTCAATTGAAAAAGGGTGATACTGCATGTTCCTATATTTCTCAGCAGCGGTACTTTGTATGTATCTGAGTTTTTAAAAACTGGGGAGGGGGGTGCAGCCTGCAATTTGGTGTCATAGTAACAATGCTAAATACACCACTTTTGCCTTCAAACAAAAGAAATGGGAAGCACACGTATTGTTTTATAAAGAACCACATTCCTAGCTGTCTCCGAGAAGGGCAATTCTCCCTTAAATCAAGGTATGTGCTCTCTGGCCACTATGAAGGTAGAAGCGCAGATTTTTGCACCGCTGGTGGCACCGCATTACCAAATCTAGGCAGCCTATAAAAGGCTTGGGAAGGACCGGCCCCCAAACCTACCATAACCACCCAACACTTCAAATGCATGAACTTGGCTGACTGATGAAAAGTAAATTCAAAAAGAGCCTTGATTAATGTAATTCTCCTTTTACAATATAGGGCAGGGTCACCTTACACACAGCAATGTTCAGAAAGATCAGCTGAGAATTCGTCCATGTATGAAGCTCTATGACCAAATCTTTAGACTAAACCACATTTGAAATGTGCTCTCCCAGTTTCAGAGTTACATGATACTCTAGAGAATGTAGAAAATGCAGCTCTGTTATATTGAAATGTGTTTGCATGCTTTTACTCGTACTTCATGCTTCCATTGACACTAGATTGTAAACTGCCCAGAGTAGTGCTTGCCACTATTCCCGCAGTACACAAGTACACGAAATTAATTAATTAATTGATTCTAGACTTTTTTTGTATTAAAAAAAAGCATCGGAGTGGAATGGTGATTTAGTTTGTCATTTGATTTGCACCCTCTCCCCACACAGTAAGAAACATGTCAAAAAATTATTTAGAGAAAAAACGCTTGAGTGAATTGTACATTCAACCACTGTCACAGATTGAAGTGCAATCACTGAGGGCCGGAACACTTGCATGCTCACGTGACAGAAAGAGCAGATCCTCAAAGAGAGGGGAGGCAGGGGGGGTTCCCACCACAGAGATTGGCAGAAAAACAAGATGGCACAGTCCTTAATCCAGCGTGAGACAACGAGCCACTCTACAGGGAAGCAACCTTTCTCACGCCCTTCAGCAAGAAAGGTTTCCTGTCCCTCTTTGCCAAATGCAAGGAAAAGGAAAGGAAGCAGTAATGATGAAAAGCTCAAATATCATCCTATTGCCAGCAAGCCTTCCTGGGCCAGCTAGCATAACACCGCTTAGCTGGGCCAAAGGACCAACTAGGGTTCAAAAGGACGAGGAACTGCACTGGGTGCTGCGGCCAGGTGTTCAGATGGTACGGCCCCATACTATTGGGCTACTTTGAGGTTTGGAGGAAGAGCATCTCAAAAGCAGGACCATGCCTGAAAGAAAATGAGCCACGCAATGTAGTCTGGTATAAACACCAAGGTGAGAGGTGTGGGGAAATCCAGCACATGGACATTCTCCACAGTTACTCAGAGCTGTGATTGTGATGATGAAGAAATAAGGATGAAGTCCACATCCTGAACAAGGTCGCTGATGCTTGTTCAGGATACCTGTCTTTGCAGTGAGTATACCTTGCACAGGGCATTTGCATGTTAAATATTGCCCTCCTCCAGAGACACAGAGACATCGGGCAGAGGCTCCAGATTTCCTGGGTGCAGGGAGCAGATGACCAGAAGGACCCCCTTAACGGCTTTAGCCAATAGCGAGCTTGATGGCTGCCTGAAGCAACCATCTTCTTGGATATTCACTGCTTTCTATCACTATTCCTGCCTGGATTACCCAAGAATTGGGCTGAAGTGGCCTTCTGTGCTCAGCAGAACACATTATTATATCCCCACCCACTTTATAACAGGTATACGGAAGCTGCAGGCAACAGGCCTTGCAGCTTCTTTTCATCTCCGATTGGTCCAATGCTCCTGTTTTAATCTCTTTCTCCCTCCTGCAGGCATTAATCAGTCGCTATGAAAATGTGAACTTGGTTATTCTGAAAAATGTGAATTTTGACAGCCAGAACAGCTTTCTCGTGCAGCTCAAAAACCCAGACAGAAGAGAGCTGCGAAGTCATGCAGATGAGCAGCACACAATTTGGGCCCCAGCATCAATTTGCGCATTTTCATTACACATCAAAATATCAACAACAGATGCGCATTCTGTTTTGATACTTCCAAATGCTACGACATTTCATGCTTAATATTTGATGTTTAAGTGTGTGGGAGGAAGACTCTTATTTATTAGAAAGAAAGGAAATGTATTCGGAGCACTGACTGCCTCCCCTTTAATGGGCTCCCCACAGTTCTAAAAAAGCACGTTTTAAACTTTCCCCTCAGAATTGCACTAAACTAGTCAGTAGCGTCTTTTTTTTTTTTAAATCTGGCTCTTTACCTTTGATGCTGGCTCTGATGAAGGAGGTGTAACTGGTGGTAGGCTGGAAGGCAAAAAATGTATATCAGTTTACTGCTGCTCCCAGACTTTGGAACTCCCTCCCACAGAAGGCCTGATTGGCCCCATCTTTGCTGTCCTTCCACAAGAAGGCAAAGACCTTTCTCTTCAGGCAAGCCTTCCCTCAGTAACTAGATACCTGTTGTGTGATTTTTAGATGGTTTGTTATGCATTATTGCTTTGATTTTTTTAGTACTATTTGTTTTCCATTTCTCAGATTGGCATTTCCCCCCTTTTTAATATTTGTGTAGCTATTGCTCTTAGCTTTAATATTCTGTTTTAATGATGTAAGGCACATTGGGTTTTTAAAGGAGAAAGGTAGGGTAAAATATTTTAAATACACACACACACAGACTGAAATTCATAAATACAGCTGCACATTGTCTACTGTAAATGGAAGATATATGAATACAGGAGGATCGTGTTTGCTGGGCATTATTAATGTGTTTTTAACAGTTTTAACTGGCTGTTTTAATACTGTTGTATGCAGAGTGAATAAAAATCAATGTTTTTTAATTAAATTGATTTAATTCACAATTTGTATAAAATCATTTTTTAAAATTTACAGTGGGGTCTCTACTTAAGAACGTCCCTACTTAAGAACAATCCGACTTAAGAACAGCTCCATTTGCTAAATTTTGCTTCTACTTGAGAACAGAAATCCAAGATAAGAACAGGGAAAAAAACCTTTCCTGCTCTTTTTTTAACCTTAGGTCATCTTAGGTTAAAAAAAAATTCTCCCCCTAGTGGTAGAGTACGTATTAACCAGCTTTGCATTAGTTCCTATGGGAACTAATGCTTCAATGTACGAACGCACCTCTACATAACAAAAGAAAACAGCCAGAACGGATTAATTGGTTTTCAGTCCATTCCTATGGGAAATTTTGCTTCAGCTTAAGAACGTTTCAACTTAAGAACACCATTCCAAAATGGATTAAGTTCTTAAGTAGAGGTTCCACTGTAGTTTCTATGGACGGAAAAGAGCAGATACGGATTGAATGGTTTTCAATGCATTCCTATGGGAAATGCAGATTCAACATAAGAACTTTTCAACTTGAGAACCACCTTCCAATACGGATTAAGTTCTTAAGTAGAGACCCCACTGCAAATAATCCAAAACATCTGATTTTTAAAATTTAAATCATGATTTAAATGAAATTCACCCTGATTTTATGTTTAACTGTTTTAGTGTCATTATTTATTATTATTTTAGTCAGTTTATTTAGTACCTTGTGAGCCAGCTTGGGCCGCTTAATTGGGAGAAAGGCAGCATAGAAGTAAAACTGTACAAATAATCAAATAAGTGGTATTGTGGAGGACATAAGTGGCCAATGACAAGATAGGGAAGGATAACCCAGAAGACAAATAATGGTGGTTTGTCTGCAAGTTTCTTTAGATCAAGAAGCGGCATCAAGCTAGTCACATCACAAATTGTAAAGATTGTAAACTATGATTTAATAATTTGTTCTGCTGATGTCCTCATATAGTAGAATCTTTTCTCTCCAAGATATATGAAGATAAACAATGAAGGCACAAAATCCAGATTCAGAGAAAACTGCAAAGAATTGGGCTGATGGAAGCAGAATTCTTCCTTCCCACCTCTGCTCCCTGGGGGGAATGCGGGGGGGGGGGGCTGTGACACAGAGGAAATGCAAAAAATCAGACAGCAGCAACTTCTCCTAGTGGAAGCTCCCTTTACAGAAGGAGCCTCTGCCTGATTTTAGGGCATCCTCAGTCAGTTCCCAGCAGGACAGAATGTCCCCTTGAGCAGAGTCCCCAAGTCCTCTGAAGAAGCTTCTGGGAGCAGCTAAAGTGGGAGAATTAATCTTCCCCAAGTGCCATTTTCTCTGGTTCCAACAGTCTCACCATTCACTGTGATAAGACAATAATATTTTCCTTCCCATTAGAAACTGACCAGACTGCTGAAATACTCACCACAGATATTTGGCTAGAGCAGTACTCAGCTCTTCAGGAAAATATTCTGATAGTAAGCCGTGAGCAAAACGGATATAGTCCTCTGACAGAAAAACAACATACAGTAAATACCATCCATTATTCAGAGTTTTCTCTTTCAGTAGCCTTCCTCGCTCCTGAATTATATTATCCCAAGAATGCCAGTCCCATTTTCTTCCTTTTGCTGCCAGAACCTTTTCACTAAAGTGTCCAAAAGACTCAGAACAGAGCGATACTCTTTCTAGTAAGGCCCAAAAGCAGAAACATGCTGTTATGGAAGCCATTTTTCTTTCAAAACAAAGCGTATGTTTCCTGTTCTCCTTGTTTACAAGCAAACTGGCCTTTCCATGAAGCTTCTGGGAGTGGGAAACTGGTTGTAAACTCAATGGCTGAAATCCAGTAGAAAGTCTCAACAAGAGTAGGCCTATTGAACCAGTGGGGATTTAGTGAGTCCACTTCTCTGTAAGTTCTATTAATTCAATGGCCTAGTCTAGTTTCAACTTGCTAAGAGATTCCAGCCAATATTTGAGGAGTGTGTGATTTGTTATCAAAGAAAAATGGCTTCATGAGATGCTCCTACCTATTTTATGGCATTTCACATCAGCACATTTCCTTTCAATGCATACCTTTGCACTAAATTGGGGTGGGCAACTTCTAGAGTTCGGGGGGGGGTTCACTGGCACACATACCCCAAGCCTATATATTGGAAGCTATTCCCACACACCATTCCAGTGAGATAGTGGCTGTAAAATACCACGGACTGCATCAAAACTTTGGTTTTCCTTGGAAACAAGTCATGCGCTGCAGAATACCCTCTTTACAATCACATCTGGGAGATATCTGAGAGCATTGGAAAAGAAGGTGCGCAGGGAGCATATTTATACTGTAAAGGGCAAGTATTCTAAATAGGTATGAATAGAACTGACTTATGCTGTATATGCTTCAGAGGAAAACATCCAGATTGGTAAGGAATTACATTGAGCTCCACCTACTTTGCCTTATTCCCCTCCTACAGTATCTTCGGCCCCACCTACTTCCCCGACACCCTTCCCAAATTTGCATTCAGCCCCTAGGCTGAGAAGGATTTCTGACTCCTGCTTAGATGAAAGAAATTATAAAATCATAACAAGAGAAAAGCATGTATTTCAAAAAATAAAATTTAACCAAAAACCCTACAAAATTCAATAAGCAAAATGACCATGCTTTATACTTTATTCTGCATGCTGCCTTCAGACTTATTCTCCTACCTTCTGTGGCATCAGGGACCTCCTTGCCACTGATGAACGTAGCAGAGTGCACCCTTCCACCCACACATACATCATGCTCTTTTAATACTTTCACAGTCTGATTGACCTGAGGAAACAAAACAAAACAAAACAGAGACATTTATCTTGGACGGAACAGGCAGAAAGAATCCAAAGGTCACATCAACCTCATCCTCCATCCATGGAAAAACCCCCACAGGCTACACTTCAGGTTTCGGAAAAAGTGGTCTTGAGTGCAGGATGATAGCAAATTGCACCTGTGGAACAGGAGTCACAGCTGCCCATCCCTGGACCTTGGAGGGTCACACCCACTCTCAACATCCATCCCTCCAACAAATTTGTTTAAACACAAATACAAACAATTTGTAATTATTATTAATTTTTATTAATATTAATTATTAATTTCCAATTTTAAAATTTCTGACATAGTGTATGTGGATGGATGCTTGGAGCCCTGAGGGATGCAGGGTGGCTGCATTTAGTCCCTTGGAGGATGCCTGCCGCCCACAGGCCACCTGTTCCTCATCTCTGCCCTGAATTCTTCCTCCTCTGCTTTTTTTAACTGGGCGAGTCTGGGGGACACAATAATGATCTTGTGGCCCTCAAATTCCCAACTATTATAAATTGCATGCAACACATTGCCAAAACACAAACTTGGGACATGAAATTAAGTACAGGTTTGCTATGGCTAACTAATATCTCTGTCATTCCGAGACGGGCACAATGTCTCATCATTGCCTGAATTGGTGCTTTTGAAAAAAATAGGAGTAGGTGCAAGAACAAATGTATGCTCTGAGAACATTTCTGTTCAACCACAGAAGCGTGTGCTGCAGGGTCAGAAGACCAACAGTCGTAAGATCGAATCCACGCGACGGAGTGAGCGCCCGTCGCTTGTCCCAGCTCCCGCCAACCTAGCGGTTCGAAAGCATGCAAATGCGAGTAGATCAATAGGGACCACCTCGGTGGGAAGGTAACAGCGTTCCATGTCTAAGTCGCACTGGCCATGTGATCACAGAAGATTGTCTTCGGACAAAACGCTGGCTCTATGGCTTGGAAACGGGGATGAGCACTGCCCCCTAAAGTCGAACACGACTGGACAAAAATTGTCAAGGGGAACCTTTACCTTTACCTTTATTCAGGGAAAAGGTTATGTATGCTCAGGACTTGTATTTCACTATACTTTTACAAAACATTTTATAACCTTTGTTATGCCACTCCATCCCAGTATTTTGGGTTATTACTAGAAAAACAAGAAACCACTTTGCTTTCCAATCCACTGCAGAACACTGTGTCACAGCCTTCCACACCTCAATGTCTTCCAGCTGTCTCCAACTAAATTTTCATCATCCCTGTGGCCTTGCTGGTTGGGGCTGATGAAAAGTATAGCCAAAACATTTGGAGGGAACAAATTGTGGAAGGGTTATTCAGCACGCAGCATTACGCGATGAAATGCTTGAATATTTTAAGATACCTTCTTCTTCAGCCACTTCAGTGTTTTCTCCTCACTATACTTATAAAATTTCTTGCCACATATTTCTGAAATTAAAAAAGGAAAAGAGAAATTCCATTTCGTTTTGCATTTTCATAATACAGTGGGGTCTCTACTTAAGAATGTCCCTACTTAAGAACAATCCGACTTAAGAACAGCTCCATTTGCTAAATTTTGCTTCTACTTGAGAACAGAAATCCAAGATAAGAACAGGAAAAAAAAACCTTTCCTGCTCTTTTTTTAACCTTAGGTCATCTTAGATTAAAAAAAAATTCTCCCCCTAGTGGTAGAGTATGTATTAACCAGCTTTGCATTAGTTCCTATGGGAACTACAGTAATGCTTCAATGTACGAACGCACCTCTACATAACAAAAAAACAGCCAGAATGGATTAATTGGTTTTCAGTCCATTCCTATGGGAAATTTTGCTTCAACTTAAGAACGTTTCAACTTAAGAACACCATTCCAAAACGGATTAAGTTCTTAAGTAGAGGTTCCACTGTAGTTTCTATGGACGGAAAAGAGCAGATACGGATTAAATGGTTTTCAATGCATTCCTATGGGAAATGCAGATTCAACATAAGAACTTTTCAACTTGAGAACCACCTTCCAATACGGATTAAGTTCTTAAGTAGAGACCCCACTGTACTAAATGGCACATGAAGAGTGGATGTGACATTTCACTTCTATACAAGGCTATTACCACCAAGACTAAGGAATGCAAATGCAGCTGTCTTATAATTAACTGGACCTTTTGGCCTTTACCTCTGTATCACCTACCACTGGCTGTCAGTGATTCTACAAAGTTTCAACCGAATCTCGAAATTCCACTGAACCCAGAACCTTCTGCATGAAAACCAAGTGGTCTAACACAATGGACAAATGAGACACCATCCTGGCTCCATGCTGCAAACACTCAGAATTTTACCTTACTTTTTTTTAGGGAGGGGGATATTTACAGCCACAAATAATATTTTGGAAACATGAATACTATGAGTGAAATCCAGCATTTGCTTCCCCAGGCTGGAAAAGTTTCTTCTGGCTTTAAAAGGTTTTTGATCTAACAAAGCATTTCTGCAGGTGGGAGAAGAGAGAAACTGATTTTTATTCCTTCCTTCCCATCCTCTGCCTTCCTGAAGGTTCCTCATCTCTACTCAGGAGGGGTGAAATGGCACCAGGAAGAACTGGCAAAAATCAGTCCACCTTCTTCTGGCCAGTTGAGACAACCAGATTGAAATGTCATTGAGGAAGTGCTTCTGCTGGCAGGAACTAACACTGGATAAAATCCCAAGCGCATCTTGGTTTATGTGTCTCAAATAAATTTTCTGTAGCTTCATGGATGCATATGCCTGTTCAATGAAAGGACAGCTTAAGAGGCCCAAGGAAGGCTTGCTGTGATAAGCCTTCCCTGGCCTAAGATAGCCATGCACACCAAGCTTGTATAATTGGACTAAATGACACTTGTTAAGTCTGCCTTTTAGAGATCGTACCTTTTTCATCTGCTATGTGGTGAATCGACTGTGAAATGCTTCTGCATTGTAGCAACATTACACAGGAAGAAAACTCTTCATCTACCAAAATCTGATCCAGGGGCTGAAACTTTCCCTGCTGTAGGCACAGAAACAAAAGCAAACCACACAAAGAAGAAATCAAAGCAATTGTTAACAGAAACATTTTTGCTGTGTAGAAAATTTATGTTTAAAATGCTCCAAAGGAGGACGGAAAATTTTGGTATTGGTTATTCCACATGTTATTCAATCAATCGTCTTTATTGGCATATACAAAACAATTGCATATACAAGATAACAAATTTGATGATCCTATGGGGACAATTTTGTCCTCTAGAACAGAGGTCGTCAACCCCTGGTCCGCGGCCCATTGTCGGTCTGTGGCTTGAGCCCAACCAGCCCACGCAGACCTGCCGCTGCCCCTGCACGCACTCCCCAGCCCACAGCTGCTTTGCACGTGCCAGTACCAGCATGAGCGCTCCCTCACCCCTTCACGCATGCGCCCATATGTGCAAAGCAGCTGTGGAGAGGGGAGTGCGTGGGGGGGCAGGAGGTCTGTCTTTGAGGCCTGGTGGTGGCGGGGTGGGGGTGGGCAAGAGCCGGGAGTCAGGTGCTCCAGCTGCTGACCTCCCGGTGGGCTCCAACAATGCTGGGGTTGGCACTCCTTGCCGCCTTCAGCAGGCTAATGCCTCTACTGGTGCCTCCAGCTCTGGAACTGGCACCAGTGGATGCATTTGAATTTCCCACGGAGGGCGGTGAGGAGTAAAATAAAAAAAATGTTTTGTTTTTTTAAAAGACTCCCAGGCTGCTGCCGCCGCCGACACACACTCCCTCACCCCTTCAAGCATGTGCCCGCACAGAGGGGTGGGATGGGCGTGCGGGTGGGCAGGTGCACCTGTGCATGAGCAATAGCCGTGCGTGCTCCTCAACCACTTCGCCCCACCTCCCTCAGAGGCTCTGCCAGTCCACACTACTAATAAGGTTGGGGAACGCTGCTCTAGGAGTCGGTAAAGCAGACTATCCTGGCCCAAGTTATAGTAAACTCTTAGCAAAAGATTTATTGATCTCAACCATATCAAGGATTGGTCTGCTTCTAAACACAGAGTGGCATAAGAAACACATCATGGCATCCCTAAAATTTTCTGTAGGAATGAGATGTGGTTCCATTCCACATGTTGTTAATGAATTAAAGACTTCAAACCATTAATTGCTACTCAGTTTGGTGAAACAAATGGACGTAGTGGTGCTGCAGGCTAAACCGCAGAAGCCTCTGTGCTACAAGGTCAAAAGACCAGCAGTCATAAGATCGAATCCAAGCAACGGAGTGAGCTCCTGTCGCTTTGTCCCAGCTCCTGCCAACCTAGCACTTCGAAAGCATGTAAATGTGAGTAGATAAATCGGTACCACCATGGTGGGAAGGTAATGGTGTTTCGTGTCTAGTTGTGCTGGCCACGTGACAACGGAAACTGTCTATGGACAAAAGCTGGCTCTGTGGCTTGGAAATGGGGATGAGGACCGCCCCCTAGAGTCGGACACGACCGGACTAAATGTCAAGGGGAACCTTTACCTTTGGTGAAACATGCAAAGATACCATAAAGAAGGAAGTTTTAAATACAGCTTTCAAAAAGACTCATCTTCTATTAAAACTCTAGCACTGACTACTGTATTTGTTTTGCAGGACAAACAACCATTACGGACCAACAGCATTAAAAGCCCATATCGACACCAAGATTTGCAGACAAAAGAGCAATGCAAGAAGTTAATCTTTTCCAGTTTGGCTTAAAGATATTTTTAATAGAACTGAACAGATTTCATATGAAAGACCTGTTAATTTAAATAAATATTACCTATAATTAAAATAGGTTGTAGAGTTTACCCACAACAACATTAGAAGCATTGCATAAGAAGAGGGTGGATGGTGGCTGTAAGAAAGAGCTCTGGGCCCAGAGGTTTTTGGTTTGAATCACATCTTCAGCCATAAACTCAACAGGGGACCTCCCTGAAGCCATGATTCATTCAGTCTCAAATCCCACTTACACAACCATTATTTTGTATGCATGTTTAAACGTTAACATATTTCAGCAAAGCTTTCACTGTGGTTTAAAAAGGTATCAACAACCCATTAAAAAAAGAGAAGACATTATAAAGGCTTAAGAGAATTAAAACATTGTTGCTTGGCTTTGAAAGGTCAACAATATTGGTAAAAGCAAGGCTTCCCTAAGGAGGACATCCCACAAATAGGGAACCACAACCAAGAAGGATTTCCCTCTGTATCCCCCTCTTTGCTCTGCATGCTGTGGGGCAACAAGAGGAGAGCACCCGAAGACAGAGGAGCAAGTTGGCATGGAAGCAAGAACTCTCCAAAGGTCCTCCATCCAAAGCCATACTGGTCTTTTAGGTAAGCACCAGTGCTTGGAAATGGGCCAAAGGCCTGTGAGGGTATTTCAATACGGATGTGATCCATATTGTCACTCTAGGCCCTGTATTTCGAACTAAATGCAGTTTCTGAACAGCCTTCATAGCAAGCAGTCTTGCATGCAATCTATTACAGCAGCTGATCCAAGGTTTTACCAGAGCACGGATAATTGTAATCGAGTTATTTTGGTGAAGAGAGACAACAGCTAGCGTACCAGTCTGAACTGAATAAAGGGAAGAGGCTCCAGAGACAAAACAAACTTGAAACTTGATCCCTCAGGAGGAACAGAACTTCAAACACCCCCTCTCTCAGCAGATGATCTGTCTACTGTAGGATCTCCATTTTGTCAGGACTGAGTTCCAAATTACTGGCCCTCAGTCAGCCCATTACTGGTTCTTTTAGTACCGTACATATTACTGGACTTTTGTATGGATTATTGAAATCATAACATTTCTGGCATGTCCTAAGCACTCGTAAGTACTACCACCATAGTTTCTCAATGAACATCTTTAAAATCAAAGATGTGCTATAATGGAAGAACCTCTGGAGACATCTGGAGGCAATAGGGTTGGATTGCAGCAAGTACACAAATGCAGTAGATGATAAAACAAAACTGCACCATATTTTGTTGAGTGGTTCCTTAATACATTTCCCTGAATAAAAAGGTAGGGGCAGGTGGAATCTGATGAATGATTACATTTAAAAACCATAACATGCATTATTTCCTTGTCATATATTAATTGTAGGGCTAGATGCTTTATATTTTGTGCCATAAACTTATATATCCCTATAGAATGTGCTGGACTTCTATACATTAGAAATTCAAACTGAATCACAAATACTAATTCTACTTACCCACCCACTGCACCCCACCCTATTTGCAATGCACTATTCTGGGTGATTAGCAGTCGGTAAAATCAGGCTACAGAAAGAAGAAAACAATGGCTTGACAGTGAAAATCAGAAAAATAAAGATAGACAGATACACAGTTAACCTTGGAGAAGTAGTTTATCAGCTTCTCTCTTCCACTGCTATGGTGACGATCTGGGAGAATGACTCAGGGTTCAAAAAGGTTGAACAATAGTGTCTTCTCTCTAAAAATTGGCCCTTGAAGAGCAAGTACACTGACAGAATGGGGAGCAATAACTTGTCTTTCTTACAATTCCAGACCACCTACCTCTTTCTCTGCTTTGTTAAGGTAGAACAGCACAAGAAATAAGGGATCCACAGGTGTAGCAAAGAAGAGGCGTCCATCTGAAGGTAGAAAAATATGAAACATCCTTCTGACCAGAATCTCAGTACCATATTCTTCAGTGGTTCGCATATAATTTACTGTTGAACTCTGCAACATCTTAGGGACAAGATTAAGGGCCCCCAACCTCATCCTGCACATTTTAAACAGAGGTGTGCATATTTGTTTTTTGGCCTACAATTCCCAGAATTCCCAAGGCTGTGGTCCAAAAATACAAATAAACGCCTATACAGTGGTGCCTCGCTTAGCGATGTTAATCCGTTCCAGTAAAAACGTTGCTAAGTGATTTCATCCCTAAGCAATATTAAAAAGCCCATAGAAACACATAGAAAACTCACCTTTAAGCAAAAATCCTCCATAGGGGCGGCCATTTTCGGTGCCTCTAAAGCGAGGAAAAACAGCGGGTGGCCATTTTGTTTTCCCAGCGGCCATTTTGAAACTGCCAATCAGCTGTTAAAAAAGGGTCGCTTTGCCATGATCGCTTCCCCACGATCATTGCAAAGCGAAAAAAACCCATAGGGACCATCGCTTTTGCGATTGCAAAAAGTTAGTCGCTAAACGATTTCGTCGCTGAACGGAGTGATCGCTATGCGAGGCACCACTGTAGTTTTAAATAAATGAATGGGTTTTCAAAAAATCAAATTATCTCTGGCAACTCAGGGGAACTTTTTAACCCCAAAACTACAAAAAAACCCAAATAAACCATCTAACCACATACAAACAAGCATTTCCCCTAAACAATTAAAATAAGTGTTTTCCATTATGCAAGTGAAGGAAAGGCCCAAAGTCTAAGCCAACTGCTCTGATTTGTCCAGTTTGATCACAGCTGGAAACATCTGAGCCCTTACAGGATCCTCCAATGTTCTAGGAAGGTAAGTGCCAGTTCAGCCTCCTTATTTTCAGTGCCATAAAAAACACACACACAAAAAAAAACAAATAGAAGTAGCACCTTAGCCTATAACAGTTTTACTGAAAGAAGCAGCCACACTCTGAATTTAAGGTAAGTAGAGGCATGAAAAGCCATCAAGCATAAGCATGAGGCAAAAATCAAATCGCAAAATGTATGTTTCATTAACAAGCTCTCTAACTAATTGGCTTCAGCTAGACAATCAAGGACTGTGCAGGTCCCAGCATTGTAGCACATGGCTTTGTATATGAAGCCAGCTGAAGATGGCATAAAACTAAGCAGGCTCATTATAAACATAAATTTGGGTAACTATAACCAGGAGACAGAAACGATCAACATTAGCCCTGTTCAGGGTCATCAACACAATTAGAGGTGACTGCCTTGCTCTGCCCCTCTGTCATTACTTTGTTTACATGATCAATGAGGAGTCTGAAGAGGGGAGGTTCCTGCTTGTCTGTATCTTTTACACTCAAGTAAGAGCCTAAATGTGCTAGACTAGAGTGCTTGCTCACATATATAGCTTACAAAGAAGCATGATTTTTCCCTCTCCGGAGATGTTGCTGCTCACATGGAGAAAGTGATGACTGAACAGGGCAGGGCTAGGTGCTCCCCTCCATGATGGCACCGGACACAGTAATGCCTGGAGAGGGCTATAATAGCCTCATCCAGAAACAGTGCATGCTAGCAACTAGAATATGAAATGCTGAGAGGGATAACAACTTAAAATTGCTGAGAGGGATAACAACTTAAAATTGCACAGATATAAAAACAGACTCTTTAACCAAACAACAATGGATTGTTAACACTTTTTCCCCAAGAATGGATAATTCTACTCACCGTGTTGAACAGCTTGTCCTATGAACCATGACCGGTATTCTTCATGAAAAGCTTTCAATTCAAATAACTGATGAGCATCACTGCTAAACAAATAAAGGGCTGCCTGTCCTGTTAAAGAAACAACACACAGCTAGTTTTGCATCTCCTAAGCTTTGAATGGTCCTCTCCAACTGAAAAGAACAAACACTTGAATATCTAGGCAAACTGGAAGGAAAATGTAAGCATGGGGTAAAGGTGAAGGCTCAGTGCAGGCATTAAACCATGATTAAGGAAACTTAACTATGACATTGCATTATGTTTAAATGGAGAAACCACCGTTTGCAAGTGACCAGCAAAGAAGAATCAAAAACCATTATTTAAGTGGTCTTGCAAAAACCACAGGTTATAATAAATATAGTATGTCATAAATTCTGAATCTGGTCTATGGGATATTTCCCTCTCTCACACACACACACTTTCCTGCCCTGTGTTCCCTTCGAAATTAATTTCAAATAAATACCAAAGAAACATTCACCTTGAAAACACTTGTCTTTTTGACTGCATCCAAACTCAAATCACGAGTAATCATGGCCATATTTTTGGCAGGGGACAGGCGGAGATGAAGAAGATGATCGTCTTTATGCTACTTCAAGAAGCATAAAGGACTTTCCTATGGAATTCCTTGTGTCTTGTGAGATGAAACCAAAGATGATGGTGGGACATTGGCAGAGATGGCTTTCATTTCAGAACACAATTTTCATGACTCCACCTCTTTCTAGCCCACATGGCTGATAAGTGATAGGGTGACAGGAGCATGGACCATACTGTTGTGTACAGCTGAGACTGAAGTGCTGGGTCTTCCAGAGAAGATGGTACTTGCCATGCTTCCAGATGCACAGGTACACGAATACATTTTTCAATATGCTTAGTGAAGAAAGATAATAATACACTGCCTTTGTCCTTTCAGCCGTGCTAGTAAAACATGTTGCCCAACTAATTATTTAACGACACAATCGCCCACATTAACTAACTTAATAGACACCACTTAACAATGTCCTTGTTTTTCCCAAAATAGGGAATAATTCCAGTGTTTAGGATATGCTTTTTACTTTCTGAAGTTGTTATCTAAGGCTGCGACCACACTTACCTGTCAGCAAGTCCTATAGAACTGAATGAAGTTTAATTGTGAGCAGTCAAGTACACAGTATTGCTCTGCAAAAATCTTATTTATCATGGGACAGAAGAACAGTTTCAAGCGTGACTCTGTGACTCAAGAGTGTAATATATTTCAGCCAAAGATCATTAACAATATTACAGTCATAATTTTATGGAAAATATTTCTTTAAATAAGAGACAGAAAAAAATGATTTTTTTCCATTAGGGAAAAAAAACACTTTTAAAGCTTCAGTGTATAAATAAATAATTTGACGTAATAATTTAAGAAATCATATTTTGCAATTTTGGACTTGCCTGTACTTGGATTACGCAGTTGTGTAAATAAAGGTCCAGAATCTGGCTTCTTTGGGAGATCGGTAACAGATCCTGGAAAATATGAAATGCTGATGTGAGATATCCTCCACTTCTTAAAAAACATATCTTAACTATTTTATATAGTGGGAATCACTCAGACTGGATGTGCTCTTCTCCCTCTGCTGCCACCCCAACGGCTTATCCCCCCCCAAAAAAACAATTTTCAGGACAAGAAGAAATGTCCCTTTAAAAGAAAGGGCACCTGTTAGAGTCTCAAAGACCCTTGAAATAATTTTATAAATCTGGAAACAGACATCTGCTCCCTTCTAGTTTTGCTTTTTCGAGGAGGCTACAGCCCGCACAGGGCTCCCTCCCAGAGGGAGACAAGCATTGTCACCTCTGCCCTCAGGATGTGTCTACCCCTCTTGTAAACTGAGATCAGGCTAATATGCAGAGAAGAAGTGCCCCACAAGCAAGCAAGGAAGCCCCCCCATCTTGAAAGACAGCCTGCTTCCTCTCTGTGGCCTTCTTTCAGAACAAGGCTTCAATGTGGGCTTCGCCCTCAAAGCCACCGAGGGAGTAGGGATTAATCAACCACAACATTTCTTGTTACAGTACTTGTCTGGAGAAAGGCCACCAGCTTTGCCCGGCTCCCTTTACAGTATCAGGCGCAGAATGCCATGACCACAGAACAGCTCCTGCAGGATTGCCCGTCCACCAGGCTACCACATCAGTGGGCTAGTCAGGAGGGCAGGCCCAATCCTCTGCCCCAAGACCCACTAAGGGCCACACCTGTACCAAAAATGTGACAAATGCTGGAAAACAATTGAAATAGGAAGTGCCTAGATGATTGCTTCCTGTTTTCTTGGGGGGGGGGGAATCTGTGAAAAGGGGACTGACTGGAAAATCAGGGCTCGGGGACAGTCCTCTGAATTTATTGTTTACATTTTGTCAAAAAAAAAAAAGGTTAGCCAATCATTACCTACCTTTGTAGGCCTCAATAAACCCTGATTTTCTGCTCTCCTGCAACCATTAAAGGGCATTAACCAGAAAGGTGAGAGAGATTCATGGGGAATGAGGTCACACCATGAAAGGGCAGCCTGACCATCTTTTTCCAAGCTTTGAATCTCAACTGGAAAGCACAGAGAGCCTGAGAGGTTCATTGTCCACTCCATGCTGCCTCTGTACTTTCAGAAGGCAGAAGAGGCTGCTTTAGAGACAGCAGGTCAGTGTAAGAGGCAAGGCTGCTCCCACTGCACCACCAATGCAAGGAGGGGATGCTGAGTAAAGAAATGGGACAGAAGTACCCCAGCAAAGCTAGAACCAGGCAAAAGGAGCAGGTTCCCATTCTAGTTTTGATTGTGTTTGTCTCTTAAGAACGGACTGCAGAACTTTGTTTTGGCAGTGAGGGATTCTGAATGCCCCCAGATTAGGCATCCTTCAGTCTCAAAAGACTATGGTAATGTGTTCTGAATAGAGGTCTTAGAACAGCGTCTAGTGTGGCTGAGGCCAACTGAATGCCCCACACATTAAAAATATATAGCTATCATGCCAGTAGGGAAAAAAAGTATGAAGGAAAATGGGCTAGGCCAGAACATTTCACCTTGATACACTTCATTACTTACAGGAATATATATATGTGTGTGTGTTCTGTGCTGTCAAGTCAGAACAGACTTATAGCAACCCTAGTAGGGCTTTCAAGGTGAGTGAGATATTTAAGGAGTGGTTTTACCAGTTCCACTCCTCCAGTGAGCTTCCATGGCCGAGTGGGGATTTGAACCCTGTTCTCCGGAGTCCTAGTCCATCACTGCACCCACTACACCACACTGGGAATCATACAGGATTATCTAAGGCCTTGTTATCAAGTTGGGAAGGTAGGAAACACCTTTGTATCATCTTAGAAAGTTGGTCCTTTTGGCACAGTATATAAACTTTGCTCTTCAGGGTTTCAAGTTGGATTCTTTTCAAGCTCTACACAGATACCATGGCAAGCTGGTAGTCTCCAATCTAAATACTAACCTGTCCCACCCTGCCTAGTGCCCAAACTCTAACAAATCAGGTATGTTCAGGGTGGCACAGAAAGGCATTCAGGATGGGTATGCCCCACCTGCAGCGGTCAAGTCCATTCTAAGATGAAAGAAAATGGACACCAAAGAAAAGCAAGAGGGGTAAGAGGGAGACAAGAAATGCAAATATATACAAGTGCGTGATGATCGTATGGGTGATGGAAGGGGACAGTGGGGCAGAATACGTGCTTGCTTCCCCATCCCACCCAACATGCATTTTTCTAGGTATAGGCTACCCTACAAACTAAAGTTATGTAGGCAGTATGTGTGGCCATAACGTGTACCTGGCTGCCTAATAAATGTGACACTGACAGAGCCAAATAACTTACAGAATATGCGCACTGCAAGAGAGTCATGGTAAGTGAAAATACAGGCAAGTATTTGCAAGAGTGAGAGCAACTTGGCCATGAAAACTCACTGGGGGAGTAGAACTCGTAAGAGTGACAGGAAATGCTCACCTGCCATCTCCATCCACTGCAAAGGTCCTCAACATCCAAAATTTCACAGGTGTGTAACTTTTTTTTGCACCCTACAGCCACTTTGTGGTAAGGGGCAACCATCTGGGGGCCACTTGTCCATTCACAAGATTCATGCCATAAAAGGCAACTGATATCTGAAAATATTGTAATAATAATCTCATAGATTCAAATTTGTCAACTTTATTGTGAACTGATATAACTGTGTATGTGTGTGAATGCGATAGGAAAACAAAGCAAGCCTGACTATTGTTAAGTCATGTCTGACTCTTTGTGACCCCATGGACCAGAGCACGCCAGGCCCTCCTCTCTTCCACTGCCTCCCGGAGTTGGGTCAGATTCATGTTGGTTAGTGTGAGGGTTCGTTGGGGTGTGCTGTCTTTTCTTCAATAAACGGACGAGGCATAGAAGGAACATAAAAAGGTGTTATATTTATTTCAACTTTAACATCTTCCGGTACACCACCCATGAAAGGGTTCAGAGACGTTTGGAGACCATGGTTAGGTTTCGAGGGGGTCCATAAACTATGTACAAAGGGGTTAGTAGTCTCTGGATTCCAGGGACCGGTTAAGGGCGGCACAGGTCCCAGACCAGGGTTCATTTCTTCTTCTAGGGAAATTAAGGGTAAGGTCTCCTCATCGCCGCTCCAGCCATCCCAGGAGGATCCCTCTCCTCCTTCGGTACCCCAAGGGCCGGGTAACCCCCCAGCTTCCTCAACTCGGCGATATGCCATTGTCGTTTCCGTTCCAGCTCTCGGGCGACTGCCTCACGTTCTTCCCGCAACTTTCTACGCCACTCCTTGGCCTCGGTTTCTCCCCAGTAGGACGGGCGGGGTTTTAGTCCGAGCTGTCGGCGCTTTTCTGCCTCTTCATGGGGAATCCGAACCTGCTCCCATTTGTGGGTCCAAGGGTCCTCCATCCAGACCCACTCCCAACCGCCCGGAATGTCCCTCGCCCTCTCCCTTATATCTCCCATCCCAGCTTCTATCTCCTCCCCTCTTTTTCCCGCCTGAACTCGTCCCGGTTCGCGGGTGATCTTTAACCCCTTCATAACCTCCTCTAGGTCCCGGGTATCCACCCCCTTGCTCAGGGTAAGGGTTCCGCCGCATTCTGTCCCCCAATCAGGGGTCTCCACTCCTCTATCTTCCCGTCGCGGTGGGGATGGTGGGGGGGATGTCTGAGTCTGGTTGTTACTCTTCGGGCGTAGCGGCACTCCTACCATGGCTTCCACTTTGGGAGCCTCACATACCCCCCCATCCGAGAGTGCCGCTCGCTCCTCCTCGCCCTGCGCCCACGGTCCCTGCCGGGAGAAATAATCTACATTAGCATGGTACTTACCCTTTTGATATACGACCTTAAAAGAATAAGGTTGGAGAGCCAAGTACCATCGGGTTAACCTCAGATTAGTGTCCTTCATTTGGATAAGCCATTGGAGGGGAGCATAATCTGTGACCAACGTAAAAGATGCCCCCAACAAGTAATATCTCAAAGCATGAGTAGCCCTAATTGCCAAGGCTTCTTTCTCAATTACAGCATACCTTTGTTCTCATGATGTCAATTTTCTACTCAGACATTGAACCGGATATTCTACCCCATCCCTGATTTGTGCTAGGATGGCCCCTATTCCTCAGTCTGAAGCATCCGTAAGAAGTAGGTTAAAGTGGTAGGTTAAAGTCTGGTGTGAACTATACAGGTAGCTCACAAAGGATAGCTTTCAATGTTTGGAATGTCCTTTCATGGGTCTTGTTCCATTTCACCTGTCTGGTTGCCCGATTTTTGGTCAGATCAGTTAAAGGAGCTGCTATTGTGGCAAACCTAGGTACAAACTAGCAGTAGTACCCAGCTAAACCCAGGAACTGCTGCACTTCTCTTTTGGTAGAAGGTGGGTACCATTGAGTAATTTTTGAAATCTTTTCCTCTTTGGGTTGTAATTCTCCACTACCTACCAAAACCCCCAAATAATTGACCTTGGGTCAAGCTACCCTACATCTCCCTGTGTTGACAATTAGTCCAGCCTTTCTTAACTCCCTCAGGGCCCTCTTTAGGTGTATATGCTCTTCCCAGTTTTTACTGTACACAGTTATGTTGTCTATGTAGGCAGGCAGCAGCGCAATCTTGTACAAGCCTAAGTATTTTATCCAGAAGACGTTCGAATGTGGCTACTGCCCCATGCAACCCAAATGGCATGCGCTGGAACTGGAAGAGACCCAGTGGTGTGGAGAAAGCCATCTTTTCCTGTCTTCCTACCTTATGGGAATTTGCCAGTAACCCTTGGTGAGATCATGATGAATAAGTATTTTGCCCCGCCCAGGTTGTCTAGCAAGTCCCCCACCTTCAGCATGGGGTATGCGTCGAACTTAGATATGGCATTCACCTTGTGGTAATCTATGCAAAACCTCACACTCCGGTCATGCTTAGGGACCACTACTGGGAAACTATGGCAGGGTCCATTAGCTGGTTCAATCGCCCCCAATCTCAACATCTCCTTTACTTCTTGCTCTATGACCAGTGTTAATTGATGTAGCCATATACATCCAACAGACCTTACCACTACCCTGGGCTCTGCCTCGATCCTTTGTTCCATGAGGTGAGTATAATCCGCATGCTTAGAAAAGACATCTGGAAACTCTTCCTCCAGTTCCTTTACTTGTTGTGCTTGTTGGGAGTTTACTTCAGTTTCTGTCACTAGATAGGGTTCCCCTTTTATCTGATTGGTTTCCCACTTCAGGTCCAAATTCCTCCTCTCTATATTCTCTAAACAAAGATTCTCGGTCTACCCATAGTTTAAGCAGGTTCACGAGTTGGACCAGCAGCGTCTTTTTCTAGTCTGGCATGGCTATTTCATAGGCACTCCTGCGAGAGATGCCTCTGACTCTCTTCCCATCTCACAGTTGACCATTTATTCATTTATTTGATATTAT